GTGTGTGTGGATGTGTGTGTGTGTGGGGGGGGGGGGTGGGGGTTTTGAAGGGAGGGAGGGGTGTGTAGACGCGTAGCTGTCTGGAGCAGACAGCGGGCATCAGCTCTCAAAACAAACAAGATGACATGGGATCAGGGGGGGGGGGGGGTTGCGACAGGACCAAGGCGGTGCCAACGCGGACAGGCGCGGCTTTTGGGGGCGCAGGGGGGCCCTCTCCCCTGCCCAGGACGCACCACTTGGCCTCGCGCATCCTGTGCAGCCGGCTCTCCTTGCTGCGGCCGCTCCATGAGAAGTGCACCGCCAGCGGCGCAGACGCGGGCGGCAGCTGCTGCGCCTCGTGCAGGCGTGACACGAAGGACGTGTAGCCGTTCTCTACCACGGCCGGCGAGAACACGCCCACGTTCACCGCGCCCGGCGCCGCGGCGCCGCCGCTGCCGCCGCCGCCGCCCCAGCCGAGCCCGAGCCAGCCGCTAGGCCGGCCCTCCGCTGCGCCGGCCAAGGCGGCCAGCGGGACGCGCAGCAGGCGCTGCGCTCGGGGGTCCGCGGGGTCGGCGCCGGCCGCGGCGTCGGCGGGCGCCGGGGTGCCCGCGCGCAGCCACGATCTGAGTGCGTCCGCAATATGCTGCTGCTGCTGCTGCTGCTGCTGCTGCTGCTGCTGCTGCTGCTGCAACTGCAGCTGCGCCCCCTGCCCCTGCCCCTGCTCCGCTGCCGGCTGCTGCTGGGGCTCCGCCGGCGCCTGGCCGTCGCCGCCGCCGCCCACGCCAGAAGCGCCCCCGCTTGCGCCGCTGCTGCTGCTGCCGTCCGCGCCGTCGCCCCCCTCGTCCGCGGCTTGCTCGTACTCCGCGCGGCGCTCCTCGTCCGGGGATGGAGGGGGCGGGGCGCGCCGCAGCTGCTGGAGTGCCTTCAGCGCCGCACTGCCGCCTGGGCAAGTTTGGGGCACGTGGGCGAAGGGGGGGGGAGATGTGGTGATAAGAGGTGTGCGTGGTTGGGTGAGAGCAGCCGCCCGGCATGAGGAAGCGGCGGCATTTGCGCGTCCCTGTGCGCCGTGACGCCTCCAGACGGTGCCCTTCAAACCCCTCACAAGCGCACCCGGGCTGCTGCGCACGAACATTACGCCCGACGCAGCGGCGCGGGTCGCTGCTGGGCCCGCCTCCAGGCCAGCATCGCCGGCCGCGTTGGAGGATGCAACCTGGGGCGGGCACACGGGGGTGGATGAACAGGGGTGGGGGGGTTGAGGTGAGGGAGCGCCACCGCAGCGGTCGCGGCGGCGGGAGGAAGCCCCAAATGTACAACACCAGCAAATGCTGGTGGCACACGCAGCCGTTGAGCGTCGCTCGCACATGTATTCTGGCGTGCGCGCACGCACGCGCATCGTCACGCACATGCGCCTGTACGTGAGTGCGCGCACAATTGCTCACTGCCTTCCTCGCTTTGTTGTTCGCTATCACAACACACAACCTACCGCACGCACACACACAAATTGACGGCACACACGCACGCGGGCACACAAATACACAAACACTCCCTCCCTCCCTTGCTCCCTCTCTCTCTCGCCCCATCTCTCTCTCTCCCTCTCTCTCTCACACACAAACATGCGCGCGCACGCACACCAACACGTACTGCCTGGCACCTGCACGCACCTCATCGGAGGCCACAACCAGATCAGCAGCCGCAGGCACGTGCTCTGCCAGGTAGGCCGCCGGGTCCCTTGAATTTCGGGTGTTCCAAGGTGGCAGGCGGACGGGCGGGACGACGCAGTGAGGTCACGCATGCTGCACTGGGTTGCCGGCAGCGCCGCGAGCCGCCCGCCCCTTGGTGCCAACCAGTGTCGAACCAGCGGGGTTCCGGGCCCGCCGGCAGGTGCGGCCCCTTGGTGCTGCACATCAGGCGGCGGGCGGCGCTGCGCCCACGCGCCCCACCTGAACCAGAGGGCATCCAGGTCTGACACTATGACGTCATAGCCCGCGTCAACAATAGCCGCCGCCACCTCCAGGCGCGCCCAGGACGCGGCCTGCGGCGACACGGCACGCGGGCGGACGGAGGGGGGCCAGTGTGAGCTGTATGCACATTCTAGCCAAGAGGCTTTACAAGGGGATCCGGGGTCCGGAACTTTCTGTTTCACCATCATCGGCGGCAGAGACCCGTCGGGGCGTGCGCACGCCCCGGAGGATAATCGCAGCTCCCGCATGTTTGAGCGGGGCGCGCCCACCCTGTGCGCGTCGCTGCTGTGCTTGAAGGGCTCCGCCTGCGCGGGCAGGGGCGCGCCCCAAGGTGTGCAGTGCCCCAGCTTGTTTGACACGAGAAAGTCCCGAGTTTTCTGTTTGGTGGGGCAAGGGTGGAGCGAATCCGGGGCGCAGTGTCAGCTGAAGAATTTGAGGAGCAGCGAGCAGGGGGAGGGGGGTGCCAAGCAGGACGCCGAGTCCTGGGCTCGACTTGAGCTAATGCCAAGCCTAGCGCTGCAAGATGCAGTGCTGCCCGACAGACATAGCATGTCCCTTCCTGCAAGTGCATGCTCAGGAGCAAGCAGGGCCACGCACCTGGTCGAGGGCCGCGACCAAGTAATTAGTGATCCCGGCGCGCTGGACGTGCGCCAGCCAATTGACGCCAAACACGTCCCAGGCCGCCCAGTCCGCCGCCACCAGCAGCACGGAGTTGCGCACCGCCACCTGAGGGGCGGTGTTTGAGGTCGGGGCGCGCGCTTCTTGGGCACGCACGCGTGTGCATGCAAGGGCACCCCATGCATGCGCGCCCTCACCATGCATGCGGCCATGCTCACATGCATGTCAACACCCCATGTACCAACCGGATGGCTCCTGACAGCTTGTCTGTGGGAAGCACGCGCTCATGCGCGCCTGTCGCAGTTACGCAAGCGGCCGGAGGACCGACCCAGACTTGTCGGGCGCAGCTCACCCCCTGCAGCAGGGCCGCACTCAGCTCTGGGCAGCTCTCCACTGCCACGCGGCGCTGCGCCGAGTCCGGCCTTACTGCCCCTGTGTGCGCCCGCATGCGCAAACCGGCGGTGCAGGGCCCACGGTGACTGCGGCTGCACAGGCATCAGCCACCACATGCATGCAGCTGCCACCTGGGCGTCACTTCATCACCTCTGCGCGCCGCAGCTGCGAGCGCCTGCCCCCCACCGCCCCCCCTCCCCGCAAGCCCACCTTTGGCGCCGTCAGCCCCGCCCTCCCCGTTCGTCGCCGCGCTCGCTGCCGCGCCCGCCGCGCCCGCCGCCGCCGCGCCGCGCGGGCGCGGGTCGACCGCCCCGCTGAGGCTGGTGCGTATCTGGGCGCTCGCGCAGGGCGAGCGCAGGATGAAGCGCGGGTTGAGGAGCTTCCGCACGCGCTGCCAGAATGGAAGGCGCCCCAGGTCCAAAGAGCAGGCCTCCTGCAAGGGTGAGAGGGCCGATTCAACCCACGGGTCGGAATGCATGTCAAAGAAGGCCGGCTCTGCCGTGCTGCCATGAGCACGCTCCACAGGGCGCGAGCGCGCGGCCGCGGCGGGCCCATCATGCAACGCGGGGAGGAGAGACTCTGCGTGCGTTGTGTGGCATGGACGACCGTGCTCGCCCGGCGCACCGCCACTATGCGTTGGAACTCGCTGGCATCCAGCACGCCGTCCCCGTTGGCGTCAAAAGATTCCAGAAAGTTGCGCGACGGCGCGCGCCCGCCCGGCCCGCCGCTGTCTAGGGCATCCGGTTGGTGCAGCAGCGGCACCATGAGCGCGAAATTGGCGGCGACGACGAGGGCGGCCGCGACGCCAATGACGAGGAGTGCGCGCCGCCGCCAGCGCGCGGAGTGCGGGTGCCAGTGGTAGTGCATGCCGTGGCGCGAGGGTGCAAAAAGGGGCTTCATGGCCGCGTCCAGTACACGGCGGTGCCCTCCTAAAGTGGTCGGATGCGCTGTCTTTTGCTAAATCAGGCTCCACTGCTGCCCGGGGCTGCAACTGCCTGCACCGGCTGTATGCTGCTTCTGCTTCTGCTGCTGCTGCTCTCTGCACCCAGAGATTTGCAGTTCCTATTAGTTACCAGTACAGCCTATCAGGTGCGGCGCTGGCTGCCGCGGCAGCTGCAGCTGCTGGTTCAGGTCGACTGCTGCTGCTGTCCGCCGCTGCTGCTGTTGGACCTTCGGCGGCTGCCACGGCCGGTTCGCGGCGTGGCTGCGCAAGACGGGTGATGTCAGCAGCTCGCAGAGCGCGCCACCTGCTGAACAGATCTCCGTGGCGCCAGGGTCCCAGTGAAGGGCCCAAGGGCGGCCTCAGCCGCCATGGGACGCCTAGGCAAGGCGCCTCATGCCGCTGCCCGCCCTCGCCTCGCAGGGAGCGGACCTGCTTGCACACGCCCAGTGCTAAGTAGCCGTAATTGCTTGCTCCACAAGCAGTTGGAGTGAGCGTCTGCAGACGCGGGTGCGGCGGTGCAGCCGTTCTGGTGTGTGTGTGCGTCACATTGGCGTGAACGACAGCGCTGCGCATGCAACAATGCTGCCTGCTGGTCAAGGCAAGCATTGCCGATATGCAATTGATACTATCACGCGGTATCTGAGCGTCTCCCGCGAGCTAGCACCACACAACGGTCCTGCAGCACCCGCCCGTGCTTCCAGCGGTTGGGCTGGCTTTCAGCTGAGACTTGCAGGGGACCAGGCAGGATTGGAGAAGCATCCAATGGTGGCTTGGATTCACTCACCCGCGAAAAGGATTTGCGCCGCTGATGAGTTGCGCGTTCGGTCCGTGTGATCTGCAGGTGCACAGCCTGCGAGAAGAAGGAACGCGTCACGGTAATATGAAAGGGATTGCCGAGGGATCCACCCTGCATTCGGATAGGCCACGCACCCAGGGTGTGTCACCTCACTGGAAAGGAGGCCGCCATCCGACACCGACTTGCTGTCCAACTCGCATTTTGACCACCGCGTCAGCTCAGCTCCGTCCAGCCAGGCGCACGGCCCTGAGGCCATACAGGGCATGAAAAAATATCACGATGAGCAGCCACGCCACCTGAATTGCGTTCCTGCCTGATGAGCGCCCAAGCCAACCCCTGCTGCACGGCAGAGCGCCACCCAGCCAACCCTCGTGCGAAGTCGTACGGCATGCCGCGGTCCCTGTCAAGGCTGGCTATAAAGTGTACAGCATCGGGCCTCGCCCCCGATGCATGTGTCGTTCCTGGTCAAGGCAGCTTCGCTGGGGAAGTCACCGGGTTTGCTGTCCGCAAGGACGCAATGGCACGCTCCGTAGTGGCTGCCACAGCCTTCGTCCGCCCCCTTGCATTCCTATCAGCTGCTTCTTGTGTCATGAGTTGCGGCTTCCTTTGCCGTAAACAGCGTGTTGTGTGTGGCCGGTGCCTCGATCGTCAGTGCGTGCGGTTCAGTATGCACCCAACGTGGCTGCATGCCACGATTGTGTGAGGTGGCAACAGGTCTTGGATCGGTTGAGAGTTGCTGCATGCGCCTGCGCGTACGACACAATCGCCCTCCCCATTAAAAGAAGTTGGCCGTTTGTATACGGCAATGCGCTGCGCTTGGTGATGCCACCGCATTTGTTACTGTTACTCCCGCTGTGCGCCTGTGCTCCTTCTGACCACCTGGCTGTAACCGGGGCTCTTGCACTCTACCGCTCTGGTGAAAGTTCCGGCGCGCTCAGATGATTTGTCATATGCGTCCTGGTGGAGCGCGTACGGGCAGGGATACTCCTCTCACTTTGTGCACTCCGCTGCTTGCGGCACACTTGCTACTGCACGACCCCAATAGCCGGTGACATCCACCTACTTCAATATAGTTGATGTATCTTTTAAATACAGACAGAATTCCGTCGTAGCATGCATGCATTTGACGAGGGCAATCACCGTGGGGGGGCCCAGAGTGGTCGCTACCGTAGACACCGCACACGGCAGATGTGGCAAGCAGCGGTATGCTCAAAGCGATTGGTGGATCCCCGCCCATACCCACTCCTTTTGAATACTCTGCGAACAGCCTTGCCCAGGATTTTTGCAAGGCATGCCACTCGTGACCTTGCTGTGTGTGCAAGCACAGCGGGCAAAGCGCACCTCTGAGGAGTGAGGAGGCCATGATGGCCCAAGCCAGTGACCTGCAGAACCACGGCAGCTGCGGCGATCCTATCACATGCCCTCAAGACCAGTTGACGGCCCTAACCGGCTATGCGCGGCTGCTGCAAGACCGCCAGCGTTTGTTTGGCGCGAGGGAGTGCCAATGGTGACACCAGTAGTTGTTCGGCCAGCCCGCCGCTTGTAATTTATATCAATGCACGCATTGCCTAGCGGTTGTCCACATTATTAATAGAGTGACAGCGCGACTGTGCGAGGAGCAGCAGCAGCAGCGTCAATCACGATGTTCAGCCTCGCCTCCCCCGCCCAGCGCGGCAGCGTGGCCGTGGAGGCCACCCGCCCCCGCCAGAAGTCCACCGCCAGGCACATCCGGGCGCGTCCTATCAAGGTGGGCGGCCTTGGGTGTGCGGTGTCGCGAGCTCTGCCTGAGTCCACGATTGTTTCATGAATAAGAAGGCTGCACTAAATTTTTATATCAGATGCAATGCGGTTCTGGCGGCCCCTGTTGCCCGAGGCATTGCGTGGTGGTCGCAAGACGGCCGGCAAGCTGTGTATTGAACAGGCGCACCATTGGCAACGAGACGCGGCATGCATGAGAATAAGCCTTCAAACAGTGCCTGGGGCTGCCTCAGAGCTGGCGAGGTGCTGCACAGTGTTCAGACGGTGTGGCGGCGGCAGCAGCAGCAGGATTGCGGCGAGTTGATGTTGTAGCTGATGATGGACCTCCTCGCACTCCTGTCCGCCCTCCTTGCTGTCGCGCAGTACAACCCCTCGGACCGCCGCCACAAGCCCGCTGTGTACAAGGAGCTGCCCCCGCCCCCGCCGGAGGTGGTGGTGGTGTCGTCCCAGTAGACGATCCATCGCAGCGGCGCCGATGGGCATTTTCCTCCGGCAGACCCTTGGCGATGTGGCAATATCATGTCGCGCACGACAGTGACATTGTCATGTCGCACATGACAGTATGCGCAGGGGCCCCTCCTGCCTGCGCTCCCAGGCCTTGTGCAGGCGCAGGGCGTGCAAAGGGGGGCCGCACAGAAGGCTGGGTCTCCAGGAACTCATCAGCTGGCCCGGCAGCGGGCAGCAGCAGCAGCAGCAGCAGCATGGAGGTCAACGTGCAGCATGGCAGTCGACGGCTGCGGGTGCATGGTCGCTCCGTCGCTCCCTATGGCCTGCTCACAGCGGCGGCGGACATGCGTGCGTCTCGTGGGCGCATTAATTAGCGGCTCGCGGGACGGCGGCTGCCTGGCCGGCGCGGGCCTACAAAAGGCGGAAACGCTCGTGCAGGCAGGATGGCATCAGCTCATTGCAGCTGGAACCCAGGCAGTGGACGAGCAGTGTGTCGGCATACAGCCGCCATCTCCTTTTTTGCTTTCGTGTGGGGCCCTCGATTATGGAGACCTGAGCTGCTTTGGTAGGCGGGCTCTGCTCTCTCACTTGTAATCACTGGTCTATACGGCTCTGGGAGTTGTCAGTGATGGCGTCCATTCCTCAAGTCCTCTGCCACCTCTCCGCCCCGAGGGCCCTGCAGCAGCAGTGAGGTCATGGCTGCTTGTCCGTGCCACAACTGCAGGCCAAGCACGGCCTTTTTTGGAAGATAAGGTGGGGCGAGACCTTACTGCAGGCGGTAAATCGGTGCTGGTGGACCAAAATCTAGTGGCATTGACCCACCGTTGCCCAAGCGCACATGCCTGCGCAGTGTGCGCTGTCGTGCGAAAGCCAAGCCAAACCCTCCACAGGCGGTTGTGCCTGTTGAGATGGTAGGCGTGACTGGGAGGTGGCAGATACCGTAAGATAATTGATCACTCATCGGGTAACTTGCGTTTGGGCCGAGGTCGGAAGGGGCACTTCGCGAGGAGAGCCGGAGAGCCGACCTGGATTGCACCAGACGGAAGCTGTACGGTACAAAGGGCCGCGAGTACTCAGATACAACTCACCTTATTTATTACTTGCAATAATCTGTCCGTCCTACATTCACACACAGCCCCTGTTCCCTTGGGCGAACCGGGCGGCAGCGATCGAAAGGCCGTCCCTCCTCAGAACCCCTCCCGGGGCGTTAGAACGGCGTACTAAGATTGAAAAATGATGAAACGCTTGATACTCCTGGCTGTAATGGCCACAGTCGCCACGGCGGCATCGGGTGAGGAGCACCAAAATGTAGCGGCCTCAAGGAGCCGGTTACGCGCTGTTTCCCCTTGGCCTTCCCTGCCCCCCTGCCCTTGCACGCGTCCCCTGTGGCACTTTTTCCACCCGGTTTAATTGACGGAGCATCCAACGCTGCCACTTACGACCCCCCTCCCCGCGCCACGACCGGCAGTCAACTTTGACTGCGCCCAGGGCTGCTCCCTCGCCGGCGTCTCCGGTGTCTGCGGCGCCAACGGCGTCACCTTCATAAACGACTGCCTCGCCGAGTGCGCCGGAACCTCCGTCGCCCACCAAGGCCCTTGCCCTGCCCCGGGCAAGCAGCCCGCCGCCGCCGTCGTCGCCAGCGTCGCCGCCGCCGGCCTCGCGTCCCACCCCGTCGGCGCGTTTTTCGCGACCGCCGGCGCACCCGGCGCGGTCTCCGCCGCCGCCGGGCGCGCGGACCTGCGCGTTGCGTCTGCCAGCGACATGCAGCGCTTTGCCGCCGAGGGGTTCCTGCTTGCCGGCCCGGCCCGGCTGGGAGAGTTTGAGGTCACCAAGCCCGCCAGCAGCCCGAGCGGCGGGTGAGCACGGCGCGGTGTTGTGCAGTGCCGTGCTGTGCTGGTTGTTGCTGGTCTATGCCGGTCTGTGCTGGTTTGTGCTATTTACGTTTTGCGCTGCGCTACCCTGTGCCTCCACTGGCCTCAACCATCCCCAGCCGCAAGCTAGCTCATGCATGCCTTGCAGCGGGCCTTGTCGCCTCAGCCTGGCATGGTTGCCCCCCGCCTGTCCCCCCCTTCGCGATGCACATAGCCGTGCTCAGCCCCTGTAGCCCCTGTCAATCCCTCATGCAGTCGGCGCCTCAATCCCAACCCCCCCTCTCCGCAAAAACCCACCCTCGGCAGTGTTCGCGCCGCCCAGGAGGTCACCAGCGGCCGCTCCCCGGTCCACACCGTCCGCATCCTGCCACAGGAGGGCCTCGTCTACGTGTCGGCCTCGGCCCTCCCCTTCGACGCCGCCACGGCCGCCCAGTCCGCGTCGACCCCCTCGTCCCGCCCCGACCGCCAGGCCGCCCTCGCTGAGGCCGCCGCCGCGCGCGACGCCCAGCCCGAGGGCGTCGCCGCGGCGGCGGTTGCGGCGCGCGGCGGCCCCGCGGCCAACCCCAAGCGCAAGAACCTGGCCGCCCCCGGCTGGGTGGAGATCAAGGACCTGTCCCGCCACCCCTACACTGCCGTCGGCTGGCTCAACCTCGGATACGAGGGCGGGGCCGGCTACTGCTCGGGCTCCCTGATCGCCAAGCACGCCGTCGTCACCGCCGCGGTGAGACGGGCGCGGGGCTCTTGGGTGCTCGCAAGGGCATGCCCGCTTTGCGATGCACTAGTGCAATCAGACGCGGCAGGGGCTGTGGAAGCCTCATCCGATCGCCCGACCCTGCCAACTGCATCATGGCATGCCTGCCGAATCTCACCGGCCACCCTCCCCCCTCCGAACCCCCCGCAGCACTGTGTCTACGACCGCGGCTCCGGCAGCAGCCTCTCCACCGCCGTGTTCTACCCCCACAACTTCTACACCTCCAAGCTCAAGCTGCAGCAGCCGTTCGGCTCCGCCAAGGCCTACGCATTCGACTTCCTGTCCGGCTGGTCCACTGAGGACGACATGGACAAGGCCTGGATCAGCGACATGGCGGTCATCCTGCTGGTCAAGGACGCCGGCACCGCCAGCGGCACCCTGGGTTACGCCTACAACGCGGCCGGGTACTCTGGGCAGATCTACCTGGCCGGCTACCCCGGGGAGACGCCGAGCGTGATCGTGGGTGGCCGCGACCGAGCGCGGACACGGGGCGGGGCGAGGCGGGAGGCGATGGGGGTAGAGGGAGGCAGCGGCGTAGCTCCTCATGTGTGTCATCGGATTTTGAGGCCTCGGTTTGCCTGTTGGTTTCATTGTGGAGATGGCACGGTGCGGCCTTGAAACCTTGCCATTCAATTCTTTGTTTGCCCAGGGCGAGTACTTCAAGCTCAAGGGCAAGTGCTTCATCCAGGACACCAACGGCGCCGACGCTGCCATCGACATGCGCGAGCCCAACCAGCGCACTTGCCTGACCGACTGCTCCATCGCCGAGCGCGGCCAAAGCGGCCAGCCTGCGTTTGTGCAGAACGGCACCAGCTGGGTCGTGCGCGGCGTGCTGTCGCACGGGCCCCCCACTGGGCAGTGCTACGGCTATGACACCTACACTGAGGTCGATGCCATGCACTACAAGTTCCTGGATCAGGTGGGGGTTTACGCGTTGACTGATGTTGACCGGCATTGCAACGGCCTGCAACAATGTTTGGGCGTCAGTCCCGTTGTGGGTGTCTCATTGCTCCACGCGCAGATTGCTTCGGCTTGCTTTGCTGTGTATGCTGTGCTGTTTGGGACAGCCTGGCACAGCCTTGTGCCACAGCTGCAGGCTCATTGCCAAACTCCTTCGGTCCCTTACCTTCTCTCCCCTCCCTGCCCCTTGCCGCTATCCCCTTGTGCTTTGCAACAGTACCGCCTCTGGACCCCTCCCGCCAACGCAACTGCTACCCCGTAAGCACCCTTGGGACTGCTTGGATGGCAGCGCGCCCGCAAGGCGCGTGTGCTGTCACACGCTGGGCAAGCGTGGCGCTTGGAGGGTTACCATACTGCTGCTTGGCGTATCCTTTCCTTTGGGATGAGCCGCTGCGGGTCCACCAGGGCCCTAGGCCAGCAGTTGTGAAGAAAGCAACAGTGCCCCTCATGGTGCAACACCCATTGAAACGGATGCACGACTTGGCTGCACGCGGCGCTGCAAGAAAGCGACGCCGGCCCGGTTGGCTGTTGTCGGTATTTGCCACAGCAAATCACCGCATGTGCATTTGCATCGCCCCACATGCACAACTGTGCCTGCAGCCACCTGCACCCTGTACTCACACCCTGGCCATATCCACACACACAACATGACTGCCAGCACATACCATACGTGTATGCCACGCCTGGCACGCTCATGGTTGGTGACCCACTAGGTTTGCAGCGTACATGACTGGGAACATATCTTCTTGGCAACCCTTGCATGAGACGGCCTCAAGCGCTGCTCAGCGATTCAAATGTAGCTCAGTTCTCCATCACCCATCCTTTCACACATACATCACGTCATCTGGTGCAGGCTATGCACAGCATTCCTGCATGTTGACGTGTCACCCACCAATCATCGTAGCATTGTAAGTTACACCGATATTGCACCGTGTACAGCACGCCGAGCAGCTGCTGTAGAAATATGAAAGGATATGTGAGCAAGGGTCCAGGAGCCAGGTCTTACTGGTCAGCTCAAACGTGCCTGCAAACCAATGACAAATCCCAATGCCAGTTACAGAAGTTGAACAATGATCCACATCAGTCCACAAAGATTAGGCCGTCTCATGAAGGACAAATGAGCGACAGGGTGTATGTGGAGAATGGGCACAACTTGTCTCTGTTCTAAAAGTGAGACAGGCATCCCAGCAAGGAGCGGCAGTAGATGACAGAGGCAATGCGCGCTTTGCACAAGCCATGACGGTGAATATGGCATTCTTGCTGTGTAGCGCAAGACGCGTATTTCAGGGCGCATTTGCACGCGCGCTTGTGCAGCACGGGCGTGTGTGTGGACACAAAGATGACGCGTCCCTGAAACTTGAGGGACTGCGCGTAGCCCCGGGTGTGTCCTCGCTTGTAACCAGTGTGTCCTTGTGCCCCTGGGCACTGAACAGCATGGCAGCCAGGCCTGCATGTCATTCTGCATCCAGCGGCCGCGGCTGGGGCATGTTGCCTCCCATCCTTGGCAGGGTGCGTTCTGTCCAGCGCGCCTTGGTGGTGTGCAGCTGATATCAACATTGCGTCTACGGCGGCCTCCAGGCTCACTTGCTGGCAGCGATTGCCGCTCTACTTGTCTTACAGGCCGCCCCTGCCGCCACGCACGCCGCGTGCATTGTTGGGAGCATGTGGTGTTGTTGAGTGTGCTGTTGAGCAGCCGCGACAAACTGCTCGGTGCACACCACAACATGGGCAAAGCATTGACGGACGTCTGTTTCAGAGCTGCCAGCTCAGGGGTGACTCACTTCTCGAGCTTGCTGAGGAGCTTGTCAGCGATCATGTCCCCCATCTGGTCGTAACCCTGGGGGTAGTGCATGTTTGAAGAGTGGTTGAAGGAAAGCGCCAACCCTTGCACGGGACGCACGACACAAAGACACGAGGCGAACATCATCAACACTGTGTGGCTAGTGGTGCCTGGATGCTCACACACATCCGCACAAACAACACTGCTGCCCCCCGACAGAAGCGCCACTACCTTCTCTGTCAGGTGCAGGCCGTCGTCCAGCCAGATCGAGCGCTCCTGACTGCTCATCTTCCAGAAGTCCATGGGGCCATCAACACCAAGGTCCATCACTTCAAAAAGGGGCCCCTGGAGTTGTAAGGGGGGAGGACGCGAGGGATTTCAGGACTGCAATTGGAGTGCAAGCAGGCCCCGCCTGCTTGCACAGGCCCAGCAGGCAGTGGCAAAGGCAAGGAGGCGTCACAAGGAACGCCGCAACAAGGGCTGAGCCGCAACAATCAACCACGGGGTGCTATGCGGCATGCCCTGCTGCTGGCACACGCTGCGGCTGGACCCCTGTTGCCGGCAAGTGGCGCGCCTTGGGGTTGCTGGCGCTCCACGCGTCCGCCGCAGCCCTCATCTCGTCGTTGAGTTTGCGGCGCTCGCCCTCCTTGTAGTCATCCCTGGGCACATCACGCATCAGTGCAGGGTTCGGGGGGGGGGGGGCGGGGGTTCAGCAGCATGGAGGTCACCCGAGACGAGGGGGGGTTATCTGGGTTTGGTGGATTTCAGCCCCAGAATTTTTGGCTGTGCTTTGGGTATGGGCTCGTGTTGCCCTGCAGGACGGCTGGCACGCGTCAAGCGGGAGGCTTGCGTTGCAACGTTTCGGGGAAATACTTCGGGTTGGGTGCCGCTTGCAGGGCGTGAGGGAGATCAACCTGCCCCAGGCGCGCTTACTTGGACACAAAGCCAGGGGCGGCCAGGGGAGCGATGGCCAGGACGTTGGAGCCGCTGGCCAGGGCGGGCGTGTAGATGTCGTTCAGACCGCGCATCACCTGCAGCCAGAAGGGGGGTGCGCCAGGTGCAAATGGAACGAGCCTCATGCACACGGCATTGTCAGCGCCGTGTGCGTTGGGCGCAGCGCACAGCGGCTGCACATCTGGCTGTGCCATACGAAGCCGCCGCTGTTGCGCACTTGCCCCAGCCTTAACGCACACTTGAGTAGGCCGCAGCCATAAGCTGGCACCTCGTCTATGCAGATGCTGTGTCCCGTGGCCTCACCTCATCTGCAGGCCGGCCCATGCGCAGCAGGTCGTTGATGCCAATCAGGCAAATCACCTGTCTCGCAGAGCGTCGCGGGGGGGGGGGGGGGGGGGCGCAAGCAGGGCGACACGCGTCAGCTCTCAGCGCACGCCGCGCACATTGCCTGTCCCACCGGCTCGCCACGCACGAGCCACAGCATTCTGCCTGATGCGAGTGCGAACGATCTCTGCCAGGCGCGCGCCCGCACGTCCAGTCGCAGGCCGCACGGTCGCCAGCCACAGAGGCCACCATTGGAGGCTGGTGCCGCTGCTTGCAGCGCGTGCGCGTTTGCAGGGCCAGGGCGCTCACCCAGTCGAATTTGGCGTTCTTTGCGAGCATCTCCTTGGCATAGGGCACCAGTGTCACCGGGTTGTTGAAGCCAACAGCAAAGATCCCAGCACCACCAACGGCTGCAGCGCAAGCGGGGGAGGAGGGGGAGGGGGGATTGGACGGGACGCAAGAGCACGCCATTGCCAGCTGCGTCTAGGATCTGGCGCGGGCGCTGGGCGCTCGCAGCCTTCGCGCTGATGCCGCCCCCAAGGGCAAAAGCGGTGGGGGCGTGGCAGAGCAGCTGCGGCGAGCCCGGGTCTTGAGCACAACCTCAAGCACTCTAGAGCGCCAAGAGACCGCCGCAGCCCGTTCGCACCTGCATTGGTGACGTCCGCCGGCCGCCTGAGCTTGGCCTGCAACCTCTTTTGCAGCTGCAGGGTGTAGGGGTGGTTCGCATTCTCACTGGGAACAGACCCCTGGGTGATGGAGTCGCCGAGGGCAAGCACCCTCAGCGCCGCCAGCGGCTCGGGGGCGGCAACCACGGTCGCGTTGCCGGCTTCAAGGGGCGCAGTGGCGTCGGGGCCTGCTGCAGGGGCGCCGCTCTCGAGGGCGGCCGCCGTCTTGAAGGGTGTGCGGCTACGGGGCGTCGCACGGGCGGCGCTCTTTGCGGGGACCAGGCGCGCTGCGTCGGCGCGTGGGGCCAGGAGCAGGGCTGCGAGGAGGGCGGTGACGGCGGCCGCGTGGGCGACACGTCGCTGCATCATGGTGCGGCTTCCCATGCTGGGGGCCTGGCAGTGGGCACAACCATGTGGGTGGGGGGAGGCGGGGAGACGTTTGATAATAAATTCGGTAGGATAGCTGACGTTTTGGCGCATGCATCAACACAGGCAGACTTTGGGCATTATTAAAGCGTCCAAGGGGTGCTGCCGCCGGTGCAGTTGCAGTCCGCGATTGTGCGATCGCTCAGGAACAGGCCGTCGCGCGGCACAGCCCCGTCATCGTGCGATGTGCCCCACCGCAAGCGGTTCCCGTCAGACCTGATCCTCTTCGAATAATATAATGCTTTCCGCTTGCCTATGTGCTAACTCCTGACAATAGGCGGCCGTTTCGCAGGCCACGGTCACGACGAAGGAACTTGATGGACACTAGAAGAGAGGGTGTGCGAGAGATTGACTGATAGCAGAATGAAAAATAGTTTGTGTCAGATGAACAGATGTTTTCTGGACCCGCTGCAAGAAACTGATCGCGGTACGTACCGTACCGACGACGGCTGTTCACGCAAGTGGGCCCTGGGCACGGCTGTGTATGTATGCGTCAGTTAAGGAGTGATAAAGTGTTCTGGGCACCAGGCGGCACGTTGCACGGCGCCTGGCATCTCTCTCATGTTCGCTGGGCCTTGGCGAGCTCTCAGCGTCGCAGGCACCTGCCCAGCAGTTGCTACATGTGGCCCACCACTTGTGAAGGGTTGCCATGTCGCCGCACGCGCGTGTCCCGCCCTGTGGTCAGTCCCGCACGAGCCAACATTTGGCATCCTTTCATGAAGTCTACAGGCTGTTTCGCGGTGCACATGGCACCAGGTCTGCTGGTAAGCCACCCACTGCTGCCGCACACGAGAGCTCAGAGAGAGAGCGAGAGAGCTGCACTGGAGCCTCTGAATGGCATTCACCCATTTTTTTGCTGCCGCAGAAGCTGCTGTGAAAAGAATGCGATGTCGCCTGTCTGACTTGCATCATTTGATAACATGAGTGCATTTGCAACTCGTCTCTGGGTTTGTGGGTTGAGAATGCATAGTGGGGCTAGAGTGGAGTCTTACAGTGGCCTACAGGTGGCTTCTGGTCTGTGACCTGCGCTTGGGTTTTTGCACCCAGACATAGCACGCACAAACGATGATTTGGGGGAGCAAGAAAGAGTGGTATTCAAGCCAGACCGCAACAACCAGGTTTGTGCACACACAAGACATAATGCAATAATGTCAGCCGACGGTGGCTGTGGTTGCGTCGCTGGTACGTGCGCAGTGCCTGACAATGCAGTGGGTCGGCCGCAGCAAGTGTTTTGGTGCCTGCGCCTCGAGGGAGTCTGCGATCAGGTGCCAAGGAAGCGCCAGGCAGCCAGCAGGGGCCGCACAGGCAGCACAGTGGCGGCCCCGCAGACAGCGCAAAATGGCGTGGAGCACCAGGAACCAACCGCGTGGCCTTGGTGCGCACACGGTTTGAGGCAAGTATAGCGCAATTTGTGCCTGGCGCTGGGTGCTGAACTGCAGCAGCGGGGCAATGCCCAAGCATAAGCAAGCGGCCGATAAGGCTAAGGCATACAGACAGGTATGATAAGTGAAACCCACAGCGTTATGGCTGCGCCGGGGTAAACGGAAGCAAGGCCGCATAGGGGCGGCATATTCCATGGAGACAATTTTGGAAAGGGCGGCAGTATGGCCGCCAAGCCGATGCCCCACCTGGCGCGCGTCGATTGGTGTCGGACACGGCAAGCCTCTAGTGGAGATTCGGCGGCTCGCGGCGTGGGCGCGTGAATCATCATGGGGTGGTTGGGACCTTCCAGACGGTGGTGGCCGTGGTCTTCTTGGTGTTCTTGCCACTCAGGATCTGCGTGGGCCACGTGAAGGGGAGAGGGCAGGAGTCGCGGCTTGTCCGAGGGGGCCGCTGTCTCCTCTCAAGGCTCTTTCTTGGGGGCAGTCAGGGTCGCCCCGCCTGCCAGCTTGATGAGGAGCTGGAGGGCGACCCCCTTTGCGGGCGGCGGCACTGCGCTCAGCGCCACACGCTGCGCGGATGAGTTGCCGCGGTGAACAACCATTTGCCACTGCAAAGGCCGCGGCACGACTGACCTGGGCTGCCTCAATCAGCACCTGCATCCATGCCTGCGCACCTCCGCAACGCCTGTTGTCTGCACCCAGAACTTGAGAGGCTTTGCGCCAGACGACTGCGAGGACCAGTAGCTGCGGCGCGTCTTCTTGTCGACCTGCTCGTATGCAACCTGGTGTGTGTGTATGTGTGTGTGTGCGCGCGCATATGTGTGTATGTGGGCACACACGCGTGTATCCGCAGAAAACCAGACCAGGGACGCCGCGCAGGCCGAGGCGCGCAGCGATGCAGCACGCAGCGCGACCTGATTCCCCTTCCCACCCTGTCTTCCCCGGCAAAGCCCATGACCGCACCAGCGCGCCGGTCTTCTCAAAGCAAAGCCTGAACGGCCTCTTCGTCGAGGCGCCGGCCACGCCCGCGGCCCAGATGCGCTGCCCCTTGTCGTACAGCGCGACCTCGGCGTCGTTCTGGATGCAGAAGAAGTACCTCTTGTCAGATGACCTGGCGCAGACCGAGTCGCCCGCCTTGTTCATGACCAGGCACGACCCCGCCCCGAGGTTGTTGCGGGCCGCGACCTTGGCCCCGCACGCGTTGGCGGCGCACGGCGCGACGGGTGATGGGGAGACGCCGGGAGACGCTGAGGCGCCGGGGGCAGGGGAGGTGCCGGGCAGCGGGGAGACCCCGGGCGACGGGGAGGTGCCGGTCGTGCCGTTGGGGGAAGGGGACGGCGACGTACCCGGGGTTGGAGACGGGGAGGTACCCGGGTTTGGAGACGGCGACGTACCCGGGGTTGGGGACGGGGAGCTGGTGGTCGCCGCCGGCAGCACGTTGGCGGCAAACTGGCCCAGGAAGTTGCCCGGCGGCGTGTACTGGCACACCAAGATGGTCTTCAGGGCGGGCGCGCCGCTCATGCCGTTGGGGCAGAGCTTGTACGCACACCCGATGTTGGCCGAGTTCTTCCAGACGACCTGTGTGAAGTGGCCCGTCCCCGAGGTGAACCCGGGGTTCTTGAAGTCGTACTTATCAATCTCCTTGTACCACGCTGCCACGGCGGGGCGCAGGTAACCCACAGAGTCGGTGGTGGAGCTGCCCGCCAGGTTCTCCCCGACGCCGCTGAGCCCCGAGTGCGCCCAGATGCACTTGTCCGCCCAGGTCTGTGG